CCCTGGAACAGCCTCTGTAAGGTGTGTGAGTCCTGTTGGGCCACACTCACCACAAATAGTGGCTGAAAACCATGCAAACTCATTCTCCCTGCAGGTCAGATGTTTGAAAACCAGGCTGATAGGAGCATACACTTCCTGAATTACGTAGGGAGGGCCTGTGCCTGTCCTCTTCCAGTTCCTGAAGGTACCTGCAGCCTTGGTTCTTAGGCCTCCCATTTTCACACCTCCTTCTGTGGCCTGCGTTCTGCTTCCTTCATACAAGACCTTTATGATGATGTTGGGATCCACAAGAAATCCTGTAAGTTTCCAGGCTCATGGTCCCTTTCCCATTTTGGATGACATAACCACAGGTTCTGAGGAGTAAGATGTAGACCTTTGAGGGAACAATTATCCTGCTCATGTCAAAGGAAACAAGATTCTGATTGGTAGGTGCAGAATCTCAAGGAGTGTCACCTAGAAATGGAAGAAGAGTAAGGAGAGGTGACATTAAGGAATGGTATACTAAAGGCCGGGGAGAGCTAATGTCCGAAGTAGCACTCACAGGGCTGACGAGGCAGCTTTCTTGGAGAAGTTTTGCTGGAGCTGCCTTATTTCTCCTGGAGATAGACCAATTTCTTTTAGGCCTTGAATATATGGACTTGACTAAAGTTTATAACTCACTGTGATCTCTCTGTGTCTCTGTCTGTCTGTCCATCTCTGTCTCTCTCTCTTTCTCTCTCTGTGTCTGTCTCTGTGTATATCTGTCTCTCTCTGCCTCTGTGTGTGTGTTTGTGTGTGTGTGTCTGTCTGTCTTTGTGTGTCTGTGGTTTTGGAGATAGAAACTGCCTACTCACACACACTAAGCAAGTAATACACCATTGAGATATACCCTCAGGCTTAAAAATAAATAAATGAACGTTTTGAGGTCTTACTGAGTTACCCAGGCTGTCTTGAACTAGTGATTCCCCTGCTTCTCTCAACATGTTGCGTAGCTGAGCTTCCAGGCTGAGCTTACCAGGTCTGGCTTGTGATAGGCTTATTTCACTGAATCGTAACCATGACATACATTGTTTTTAAAGCAAGATATCTGGAGCCTTAGGTGAGTCTTAGGGTGAACTATCATGACAAAGCTAAGATTGCAGAACATGAAATGGAACTGAAATTCACTGACTTCAGAGCAAGTCCTAGGCATCTGTTGCTTTTCGGGATGGGTGGAGGAAGAAATTTTAGGATAATGGAAAACTACCAACTGTATTTTGTTCTTGTCACTTAAATCCCCTAAATTTAAGGAAAAACAATCTTCAAAAGAGTCATAAAGTATCGGCAGAGGCAACTGAAGGGGATGCTTAGCTAAGATAAACTGTAATGTTCTTGACTCTGGGTTCTGAATCCACCCGTCAGACGAACAGCGTCACACATCTGCTGACTGAGAGGAAGCAGATGAAAAGCAGAGAGGCTGAGGCGCACCCTCAGCTGAGGCTCTGCAGTGTCCTGATAGATGGATCCTCTAGGGACACATTTGATGACAGAGGCACTCAGGGAAGATCAAGGGATGTTGGTGGGCCTCGGAGGGAGGGGACCATTTATTAGCATCCTGTGTAGACACACATGGTCATCATTCCTCAGCATGGCCTTTCGTGAGAGATGTTGAGAGTAGGGAAACTCAGGAGATTCAGAGCCAATGACTCAACAGGACAGAATGGAATCAAGCATTGACTCAGGGTACGAGTTCAAGAGTTAGTACCGCCTAATGGGTATGAACTCTGCCCTGGAATGAGGTCCTGATGAATTCAAATGCAAACTCTGATAGTTAACAGTGGCAGGACAGATAGTCTAAACATTTTGAGTTAAATAAAAACCCGGTTTACAGCTGAACTGTTTAAATCACACTCTCCCTTTATACTGTGCTCAGGACTCCTGAGAATGGGGTAAGTTCCAGCCAGGATTTCTCTAGTTGAAAGTGATAAAAATCCACAGAACTTGTGCAAGAATAAAAAAAGACCTATTGTAAATAAGTCACAAACAATATAGATTTCAGTTTCAGCTGGATCTAGGAGCTTAAATAATGCATCAAAGCTTAAACCCAGTGTCTCCATCTCTGGAACTCCATTTCCTCGTGTTGAAGTTGGTTGATCATACCCAGGTGCCTCCCAGGGGCTGTGGATGCGAGTCCTCTTTCCTCTGTAATACCACTGAATAGAGAACTTTCTCACAGGTTCTAGCCAAGGTCTTGAGACCGACTCTGATTTGCCCAGCATGGTCACATGCCTAATCCAGACTTGAACTTGTAACCAGAGAGTTGCATCTGTTTTGTTTCCGCTGTCCGGACCTCAGTTGTATCCTACCTTAAAATTTAAGACTCAGGCGGTACACAGGACCTTCCTGAACTGAATGGGGGGGGGGGGGCTTAGAGAGGGACCACTGGATGTAACTGCAAGGGACAGAGAAGATGTTGGGTGGATAGTAGTAACCAAGGAAGGCCTACCGCCGTGGCCTTCAGGGCAATTGTTAATGAGTCAGTGGCTGCCATGTCAATGGCGCTGATATAGTGGGGACAGGATGGTCCATCAGATTGAGGAAAGACCAATTGGTCCATCTTCCTCATCACAGCCCTCCAGGAAGCACGAGAGTGAAGACAAAGCCTTTGACTGCCAAGGCAGAGCCTCTTAAGCCTCCCTAGACCAGCCAGTTCCCAGAAACAGATCACTAGCTTGCTGAAGTTCTTTCCTACCAGTTTGTCAAAATATATGAAGTGTTTTGCTAATTTCCACAGATTCTGAAGGTCGATCTCCAAAAAAAAGATACCACCCCTCTCTTCCCAATGCCGATTCTCCAGTAGCAAACACTGCTCTCTTAGCGACAAGGCAATCAGCTGGGACCCAGCACTTTCTTCTGACCTCTTTACATGGTTTTGTGGCCAACCCATTAGAGCTGAGCTTTCCAGGGGTTGGTGGCCGGCAAAGCAGCTCTGTGATTTTTGCCACACAATGAAGCCAGATGAGCTATGAGTTACATCATGTACCTATTCAGGTTACTTCTCTTTGATTTAACAAAATTAATTTAGAAAAGAATGTTCCATCTCTACCACACAAGGAAAGCCAACATTAATTGCCATAAGTAAAAAAAAAAAAAAAAAAAAAAATGAGTGCACAGGTACAAATTGAATAAATTGTAATAAATGGTATTAATAAAAAAATTTCTAAATGAGCACACAATTAAGAGCCATGTACAATGTCATTAAGTTCCAGCTGGACTCCAGTCCTGCCCATGGCCGAGGCACTTCCTGCTCTCCTTGGGCACAGAGACGGTGGTGCTGGTTGGAAAGCTGTTGAGGAGGGATCCACTATTCTCCTGGAACAGCAGCGAGAGCAGAAGAACAGGAAAGAAAAGGCCTCAGTGCATTTCTACAATGTGTCCAAGTCACTGCAAGGACCAATTAAAGTGGAACTTCCCCTGAGGGCCAGCTGCCTCCTCACTGTCCTCCTTGTTGTACAGTGTCTTCTGTCCTTAATGCCGCTTCTCCACCTTTAACCTTCCTTATCTCAGCTGGAGTGAAGGGCCAGGGCACACACCGATCCAGGCAGTGGTTCGCTTTGGCCCCACCCACAGACACCAGCAAAGAGCTGAGCTGTCAGTGCCCTTGGTGGCAGGTGGGGTATTTTAACTCCAAGGAAAGAGAGAATAATAGACACCCTCCCATGACCAGGTGAAACCCAAATCCCCAAAATGGACTGTGTTAGGAGGTGGGACCTGGGAGGTGACCAGGTCATGAGGATGGAGCCTCCAAGAACAGGGTTAGAGAACCATATTGTGTTAGTGACCATAAGGAAGGCCCCAGAAAGCACCTTGGCCTTCCACCACAATCCACCATTGAAGAAGAGCCATCCATGAATCGTAATAGACACTGGACATGTTTGAGCTTCCAAGACCCCAGAATTGTGAGCAGTGCATTTCTGTTTTGTGTGAGCCCTCAGTCCAAAGCATCTTGTGACCACACAGCAGTCCAAACCAACTGACCTTCAGCGGAAACCATTGAAGGCAGGGCTTCATCACTGAACTTGCTCCAGTTTCTCTTCATGTAGGATTCCACATGGGACCCCTTTGCCTGGCTGGTTTGGGCTTCTTCCTGGCGTGGTGGCTGCGTTCAGTGGACACATGTTCTGAGATTAAGCCACCTGGGTCGCCTACTTTTTAGAATGCCCATCATTAGAAATATGGGGGGGGGGGGGGAGGAAGGGCTGGAATGACCTTGAAACCAACATTTTATGACAGGAGACAAAGGTTTGCGGACACATTAAACTGCCACAGTGCGCCGAGAAGACACCTGCGGACAGTTGTTGAAGGGATGAGTTGTGGCCTCTGGAGACAGGCACCTGCCCCTCACTGAAGGGTACAGTGAGGAAATGGGACGTCCCAGGACCACGACCTCACACCGAATGGAATCTTTGCGACTTTGCTCTCCGTCCCACTGCCCCACCCACCACTCAGAACTTCTAGAGGCAGGGAGCTGGCTGGGGCAGCCATGAATCAGAGGTGTAAAGGGCACCCAGAGCCTTGGCCCACAGGTCCTCAGCAGGAGTAAGGTCATTGGTGAACAGATTCTTTCCTTCAGACTGATTTCAAACAAACAAGAAACCAGCCACCCTCCTGTGCAGCCCTTTCATGGTCTTGGTGCTCTTGGGATGGGGTGGGGTTGCTGTAGGCTGGGGAGGGGGTTGCACGTGTGAGTCTGAGTAAGGGTGCAGTGTGCACAGGACAGAAGGTGGCCTTCAGGCAGCTGTTCGGCGGTTGGGGGGGGCGACCCTACCCCACCCACCCCACCCACCCACAGGGAGCGCGGCCTTTCGCTGGCCCTGGGTGTGCCTGGGGCAAATGTGCCTCTGCAAGACTCCCTCCTGCGCTTGGAAAACGACCACCGTGAGCCCCGGGTTCAAAGGCCCAGCTCGGCAGCTCCAGCCCCTCCGAGGGGCGGGGAGCCGAAGGGGGTGGTGCGGGAGCCAGAAAAGCCGGAGCCCAGCCGGCCAGCCCTGCACAGGGATGGGCAGCTCGCTCTGAAAGTTCGTGACCGCCGCAGCCAACTAACTCTGAGCGCCGGGACGCGCAGGTCAGGCAGCAGCAGAACTCGGAAAGCTGTACCCTGTCCCAGTGCCCTTTCTCGGTCACAAGCGTCCACCCTCCAGGCCCGGTGCCCCAGCGCCTGATCGGGGTTCATGGAGCCTGGGCTGTTGCTCCTTCTGGGGCTCACAGTGACCTCCGCTGCAGGTAAGCGGGAGGGGCGGGGCGGGGCTCGTCTCCACGCGGGAGTGCACACAAAAGGAACTCAGGCTCCGGGCTGCGTTGCGGGGGGGAAGCTAAGGAGCCTGGCTCTGAACCCTGAGGTCTCCCAGAGGCGGGCAGAGGGGCCTGAAGGCGTAATGATTACTTCCACTGGGTCTGGGGGTTTCGAGACTTGGACTGTTCTTTGGGCACTTTCCAGAGACCATGCAAAGTCGAGTTTCACCCAGCGGAGAGCAAATAGCTTTCAGAACTTCACAGGGACTGAAATAACTCACAAGTTTGTACTGAGTATGCACAGAGCTTTGTAAACACTTTAAGGCATTTGGCTTAGTTTGGAGACTTCAACCAGCCAGCCCCCAGATATTGCAGAAGTTTGGTTGATTCTCATTCTGGTTTGGTGGCGTGTGTGTGTGTGTAGGGGGGGTAGAACTCCGCGTGGGCAGCTTAGGAACCCTTCAATCCTTCTCCTGCAGGATTTGCGCCTTGCCCCAACCCCAGGGACTCTGGAAGAGCCAGTGTGTCCCAGGGGCCCCCTGAAGCTGGATCGGAGGGGGACTGTAAAGAGACTGTGGCTGGCCCTGAGGAGAGGACTGTGGCCCCAACAACTGCCCCACCTGCCCCACCTGGAGGTGCTGGGCAGGACCGGGGACCAGGCAGGCCTGGGGAGCAGACGGGCGAGGGGGTCCCCGCACGCCACCGTCCTCGGCGCTGCACGTGCTTCACTTACAAGGACAAGGAGTGCGTGTACTACTGTCACCTGGACATCATCTGGATCAACACCCCTGAGTGAGTCAGCCTCGGGGCTTAGGCAGCGTGGCTCTGTGCCAGGCCCGAGGCTTCAGTTTTGGGGTTTTTGTTGTTGTTGTTGTTTTTTGTTTTTTGTTTTTTGTTTTTTGTTTTCGCGTGAACCTCAGCCTACCTCATTCAGACCCATACCCCTGAATCTGCCATGGTGCAGATCTCAGCTTTTGCAGTGTCTCCAGGCAGCACAAGTCCTATCACAGGCCAGGAGCAACCCGCCTCCCCTCTGAGAACCTAGCCCTGGGGAAACTCAATCCTGGATTTGAGATGTGGTGGGCAGGGGGCTGGGCAGGGGCTTTAGATGCTCAGAAGTTGTCTAAGCTCCTGCCTCCAGGGGCTAAATGTACTGAGCCTTTCTCCTAACCCTTCCTGAAATTCCCTGAGAGCAGCTTTGGAGGTGGGGAGACAGAGTGGGAAGATGGCCTTGGCAAACCTGCGTGGCATCCATCCTGTGAAACGGCGTATTCCTTTTCTGCCTATCTTGGATGCCAAGTCAGAGTGACACAGGTGTCTCAAATGACTGCCATCCTCCAGGGCTGACCCCAGTGCCCACAGCCCTGACCACAGAGGGCCCGTCTGTTCTTCTTTAAAATCTCCTACCTAGTGGAAGGGTGCTGATGCAACCTAGGGCCAGCCTTTGGTGAGGAGTTCCTTTTCCCAGGGCCAGAGAGAGGGTTTGACTGTCTTATCTCCCACTTAATTCCAGCTCAGTCTCTGGGATCCTCCTGTGTGAAGACATATCTTGTAAGCAGTTCTACAGCTTGACCTTGCTCTGGCCACTATCTCCATGGCTTGTCTTTTGAATCTTGGACTTGGTCAGGATGCTGCTAAATTTTTTCCTTGGGTGTTTTCTGCATTTCTGGGGACATTTACTTGAACTTGCGTAGGGATTTTTGTGTGGGAGCCTGGAGATGGCTAAGCACAAACCCTCAGCCTGAAAAGGCAACTAATCATTCTTATTTGTGACTTTTTTTTTCTCCTGAAGCCCATTAGTAGAGACCTCTGGGCAGTGGTTTTGAGTAGTCACTCACGCACCTAGACATCTCAATAATGTAGAAGAGCGGGAGGGTCCAGTGTCTTCTTGAACCTCGTGACAGTGTCTTTAACCACAGCCAGGTAGGTCTGAGATCTCCCTGATGTTCCAGACTGGCAGACAAAACTGACTTCACTGAAGAGCCCCTTGGACTCCTGCATAGGTCCCAGGCTCAGGTGGACCCTGGTTTGTTTAATAATAGTTGTTACTGTCCTTCAACTTGTCATTCTTTACTGAGTCCAGAGCCGCCTGGGGCCCTCCAGCTCTGTAACTCATCTAGCTGTGTCTGATGAGGCCCTTGTACAAACTTTCAGCCCACAGTGAGGAGATGGGAGGAGAACAGGGATGAGTATTGGGTGTCATGAATTGGTTCCCATCCTCAGAGTCTCAGGCTTACATTTTCTTAGAGCCATCAACTACCTGACCATTGTCCCTTTTGGGTTCTAACCATCTACCATCATGACCCTGCCAAATGAGCATCACTGAGAGAGAAACCCTGGGCAGTCACTAGAGGCCTTGGGTCCTGGTCTTGGCTAGAATCCCACACTATTTGGAAGAAGAAAGAAGAAATTCAGAAGCAAGGGACAGGATGGAGTCAGGAATTGGAAACCACCTTAGGTCTCTGCTTGTCCTCCAGTCTCCTTTGCACCATGTGGGCCTGATTTTAGTACCAGGGACATGCCCCAGAGGCTTTATAAACACCTAGGCATGTTGGAGACACTGTGTTGAAATTCTGAGCTGTCTTGGGTGGCATGAAAGAGAGCCATGGCTCTTGGGCTTTTTTTGAGGACAGCCACCTGGAAGAGTTTCTCCAAGTGTCTGGTTGATCTCTTCTTCTTTTCTCCCACCTTGTTTTACCCAGTGGGGAGGAAGAAGTGAATCCAGTGTCCCTGTATCCCATTCAACCACTCGGGAGAAACAAAAGTGACAGTTGCCAGACTTGAACACTTTGAATTCAGACAAGATATGTTAGCAGGGAGAAGTTTCCTGGATGGCCTTACTCTATTTCTGTGTATGCCTGTGTGTGTATGTGCGCGCGCATGTGTGTGTGTGTGTGTGTGTGTGTGCGCGCGCGCACACACACACACACACACACACACCCTTTATTTCCTTCCTCATCTTCTTCCTTCCATTAAGTAAACCTGTTTGCTATCTTTGCAATATTTGGAACAAGATTACAATGAGAGAAAATGAGCTCAGCGGGCCTCCAGTGGAATGGAAGGACCTGAAAATGTATGGAGTGGCACAAAAGGTCTATGGCTTACTCTCCTCCCTCCCCCAACAGTCTCAGCCCCTTCTCTTGAGCGGCTCCCCTCCTCTCACATCACCTCTGTCCTAAATGGACCTACTATTCCCACTCCCTAAGTGTCCTCACCAGAATGTGACCGTTCCTGGTCCCTGTGGCTGGCTGCTCATGTTGAAGGAGGAGCCTTGATCCTTGGCCCTAAACCAAGAACCTTGAACTTCAGGTGTTTTTGCCTTTTCATGGTGTTCCTCTTCCTGTCCATTCAGTTGCATGGAGATCAAGTCTAGCCTCTGACTTTGTCTTTGAAGGCCACTTGTGAGGACCTTCTGAAGATTATCTTGAGTAGGCTTCGTTCTACATCCAAGACTCTGCAGGAGTAAAGTTGGAAGCTCCCATCTACCCCATCCACATCTTCATGGGAGGCTAACTGCCTAGTTTATGCTCAAGGGACATTTATATTCTCATGAACCTCCCAGGCAGAAGATCCGTGATTCTGTGCTTCTTCCATGTTTGTCTTACCCTGAGCTCAGTTAGACTGTTCTCATTACACTCAGTATGCTGTAGATGTTCCTTTGATGTTGGCTGACTTTTGGTTGGGCCCTGAACCTGGTTTTACTTTCTTACTTTAACTGTGGCTGTAGTCTGAAGGGCTTTCTCTCTTCCAGGAGGCCCCTTTGTCCAGGGTGTGTGGCCCTTGTTAGAGATCCTGCACTTCAGTGTACTGTGCATACCTTCGAAGGAACCTTACTCGTAACTTTTCTCACATTCTCCAACAAAGCCCATAGCTCCAAGGAAGCACATTTGTCCTTTACCAGTTGTGTTTCTTGGCATCTGAGATCACAACTAACAGATGGCACAGTTTAGGCATCCTCCTAAAACTTGCTTCAGCCATGTGTGGAACTCCAACTTCCACAACCCACAGGCAATTCCCACGTTGCCAACAAAAACAAAATTCAGACCAAGAGAAGCCCATCCCATCTTGTCCTGGAAAATTCACAGAGCCTAAGACAGTGAATGGGGAGGCGGTGCATGGGATGTCATACGTGTACACACTTGAGTGAGGAGGTGATGCACAGAATGTCATGTGTGTACATACTTGGGTGGAGATGTGGTACATGGGATGACATGAGTATACAGACTTGAGTTGGGAGGTGGTCATGGGATGTCACGTGTATACACAGTTGGGTGTGTTGGTGGTGTATGGAATGCCATGTTTACACACACTTGAGTGGGGAGGTGGTGCTCGGGATATCATGTGTATAGTCTTGAGTGAGGAAGTGGTCATGAAATGTCATGTGTAGACACACTCACATGCTTGGGGCTGCTCTGCCTGCACAGGTGTACTTAAAATACATGTTTCCTACTTTCAAGGCATGTGGGGATTGGACCACTCAGGGTTCACCAGAGAGATGGAAGCAATCGAGCTCACGTGTACAACCATGTGGAAACAGAGAAAATACTGTTATACGATCACAGCAGAAACCATCAATGGCTGAAAATTTCAGCAAAAAAATTTCAGAGATGGTGACTTAAGAGCAAAGGGAGTCAGAATTCTGTCTTTGATAGGGGACTTCAGTCTTGACTCTTAAAGCTGCCAACTGGATAGACAAGCCTATCTAGGCTGTGGAAGGCAATCTCCTTTGCTCGGAGGGTAATGCATAAAGGCTAATGCTATCTGGAAAAGACCCTTACAGCAGCTTCTAGTTGGTGGTTGACCAAACAACTGGGCATCAAACAAAATTAACCCTCTGGGGACACTCCGTCTAACATGCCCTCCGGAGGCAGCTTCCTCCTGAACTGGGTGATTGCAGATAGCAACAGAGCAGCCAGGATGCCCACCAAATTGCCCGACGTATGCTTCCCCACCTCTGCACCAGGGGCCCCACCATCTGTTAATCCCTTAGGGACATCTGAGGGAGTTACTGTGATGCTGTGATGGTGACTGTGTTTCCGAAACAAAAATATGAGCCACATGGCTGACAAGCAGGAATGTATTTCTGGAAAGATCAGGGAAAGACGTTGTGGTTCGTGACTGTGGTGTGGCAGAGAGACTGGTGGCATCTCCTGTCCTGTTTGCCTTTGCCTTCTGGCCATGCTTCTCTGTATGGTAGGAGGTGCCTTCTGATCCCCGATTCCCTTCCATACGGCACAGATTCTAGTGCAGCTTTGGGGCAGTGACCAGGGGGTCTCCCTGAGTTTTTCCAATTGGAGTCTCCTAAGGATGTCCAGCCTTTGCCAAAGCTTGCCATGCTGACTTAATGCCATAGGAATGACATTTGTTCTGCGTTCTTTCCTTCCCCAAATAAGTCAAGAGTAGACTGATAATAATAATAATTAACACAACATTTGAACTTGCATTTTAATGTCTTCTACTGCAGAACAGCACGAGTCCTGCTTTCACCATCTGTGTTCTTCAAGAAAGGCATTTTAGCAGGTTTCTAAGAAAGGCTGCCCAACTTTTCCAAGAGGCCCATGGAACTTATGGGACTGGGACCCCGGCTTCCTGCAGACTGGGGCCAGCTGTGCACCCTCCATAGGATTTGGAGATCCCAGTAAATGTTCCCTGTTCTGTGAGCCAGCCTTGGTGGGATCATTCCTGTTGGTGCATTTATTTGAGGTAGAAAGGGCCAGTCTTTGTGGCCTTTGGTCTTTGGTCTTTGTGGCCATCCTCGTGTTGGGAATGTGTCATGAATGATGGACTGGTCC